AAAGTACTTTAAACTGTATAAATAATGTAAAATTAAATTGATTTAAACAGCCAATCATACGAAAGTCTTCCTATGACCGAATACCCCACATATGGATCATTCTAGAACTCAAGTTTTATGTGTTTGGGCGATTTTACAACATCCAATCAGACAAGTCTGCTCTATGATCATGTGATCGAGTCACGAGATATATAAGTCTAAATTTAGAAAATTTATAACAATGAAAAAATAATACGTAAAACCTACTGTGTTTCGTTTGAAGCATTATTATTCGTCCGTTTAGTAACTTTAACGGAATATTAGCGTTAGACTGTTTCTACCGAAATTTAATTACAATTATTCAAATATCAAATTTGATTTATAACTAAATAAAAAAGGTAATGGGTAAAAAAAAGAGCAAGAGACAAGTACGACCTTGGTGTTGGTATGTGTTCAAGAAAGATGACGTTTTAAGCGTTAGAATAAAAAAAAAAGAAACAAACGCTAATCTACTAACTTTAGGTATTGTGAGCGAGATTTTGAAGATGAAAAAGTATTAATCCAACACCAAAAAGCGAAGCATTTTAAATGTCCTCATTGTAATAAAAAATTGAATACAGCCGGCGGAATGGTTGTTCATGTCGCACAGGTGCATAAAGAAACTATAGACACGTAAGGATTGAACAATGTATTTTGTTTGTTATTATTAGTTAAAATTATGTAATTATGAAAGTTTGCATAGAAAATATATTCTTAGAGAAAGACATAATTAACGTTATTCTTCGTACATTTTTTAGAGTCCCTAATGCAATGAAAGGTCGAGAATCCACCGATGTGGAAATTTTCGGTATGGAAGGAATTCCACATTCAGATATGCTAGCTCACGTGCAGGCGCTTGAAAGTGGGCAACCCTCAAAGAAAATCAGGACAGAGGACCCCGTTGAACTTTCAAGTGAGGAGCTTAAAAAACAACTTGCGCAACATCAAGCCATGATGCAAGGCAATCCTCAAGGTGCATATTCTTTTACACCTGGATATGCTATTCCTCAACAACAAAATTTGTCATCGTTGATGCCTCACCAGTACAGCCAATTTTATCAAAGACCTATATTAAGTCAAGCACCGTTTCCACAACCTGGCCTTTTCCGACCAAAGTAATATATTTAATCTATACAATTATTTTATGATAACAATTAATAACAATTTTTGTCATTATTCTTAGTACATTGACAGGACAAACAGTACCTTCTGTTCCTGGCCAACCATGGCGTCCTCCTACTGGTACATCTGCACCATTATTTGGAACTACTACACAGCCACTTTTTGGTGCACCATCTTCTAACACCAGTCAATCATCAATATTTCCTCCTCGTCCTGCCAGTACTATCGCATCTGCATCTCCGTTGTATCCTCAAGCTTCATTAATTCCTACTCCTGGTCAGCAATATTCACCTTATAACAATGGACAATCGGCAAATCCTTCTTTAACACAATATCAGCAAACATTGCCCAATCCTTCTGTTATTCCACCTGTGAGTGAAAGTGGAACTCAAGTTGATAGTATGGGTGATCCATCTATTACACAGCAATCTACTCAAAAATCACAACAAAAAGTAACATTGATTTATAGTGACAACGAAATTTCGATGGTATATATCTATTTGTTTATTTGATTTCTTTATAGTATGTTGATTAATTCTAACAAAATTTCTTCATTGTGAATTGGAATAATAGGAAGAAAAAAGAGCAGAGCATTTAAAGAGAGCGGAAGAAAAAAATCGGTTTAGTGAGGATAATCACAGACAGCAGGTGCATGCTCTCGATCAATCTGTCCAATCTCGTATTGCAAATCTCAAAGGGAGGGTTGTGTGATAGGATGGTAGTATTTTTTTAGACAAGGTCTTACACAATTTATATATGTCAGCCTTCATTGTTTTAGATTGACTTCATGTGTTGGGCAGGATTATCTGGTAAGGAAATAAAATCCGGTAAGCGCAGACAGAAAATGAAATTGCCGCTTATTGTGATATATTAAATCGTTCGTATTTTCCTGTTGCATGATTCCCAATTGTTTCATGAGCTGGAGATACATTATTTTATAATTGTGACCTTACTCTATTATCTTAGCTAATTTTTATTGAGTGTATTATATATAACCTTCACCATTCTCTCCGACAGTTTTTTTTCCTTGGTTTGGGGTTTGTATAATTCTTCATTGCCCTTGTCTTTTGCATATAACTATTAGAATATAACTTCAGATAAAATATTATGTACAACAAAAAGTAACATGTCAGGTTGGTTATATCAAGGTAGGCAAATTTTATTGAATGGGTGGGTGTTTTTCATGTATGTTAGTATGTTTCAGAAAAAAAAAAAAAAATTAAATAAATTGTTCAGAAACAATTAGTGGTTATTTTAACGGGACCTGTATTTATTGGTTGTTTTAAAGAACTTGGTTCAGTTAAAATTGCCACTGGCTATAAAATTGGCATAATACATCTATTCAATATAAGTGATTAGAAGTTAGTTGCCAGATCTTTTTTTACATGCGCGATATTAATTTAATTTGAAATTATATAATATTTTAAGAGTTTATTCTTTATATACACGGTATTTTATTATACTGTAATATAATACTTTTTGAAGTATATTAACTAAAGATGGGTAAATTAATAGTGAGAAGGGTTTAAAAACGACTTTTTACATATAAATAAATAATTATTTGATTTTTCACTGGCTAGAACTTTAAATAGTATTTTGAATATAATATCTTCTTGTATAAATTATTATTATATTATTCAATAAAGTTTTTGAATTAGATATTGTGTATAGTGCTAAATAGAATATATTAATTATATAACTATGTTTAACAATATATGTATAATATTGTATATATATTTTATTATATTTTTCTTTATTTTAAAATTGCACTTTAAATTTATTAATAAAAATTATGCAGTATATAATATTTAATACTATAAATATATTTTATAATTTTTATTCTTTTTAACAATTTTTTATATTATAAATCTAACAATTAATATTATATTTTTAAATTAATATAATAAATTAATACATATTAGGCCATGCAAAATTAATTAATTGGTTTTCATAACCCGGCCAGGTCAAAATTTGAAAACTTCTAAAAAAATTTTTTATATGTTTTAATAATCGGGTGGGTTTTAAAAAAAGGGTTTTATAATTTATCGCCGTAGCGATGTATCGCTAGTCCAATAGTCCTATGTGCGGAGTTTCAAATTGTGGTTACAAATCATGATCTGTAGGCAAAATTTC